ACATCACGCTGCTCCCGACACTCACCGCGAATTCTCAATGCCCGGTTTAAATCCGTCCGAAGACAACGTGCGAAGTTGTCTGAGAGATGCTGGGCACTTCTGACGTAGCTCAGTAAGAAACCGCTGATTCCCCTCAAGAGTGGCAAAGCGCATCTCAAGGGGGTCATGCCCACAAGAAATGGGCTATTAAGCAGTGACAAATGGCCATCTGGAACAACGGTTCGAAGTTTTTGCTGTTTAGCACGAAAAAGTCAAGTTTGTGCGACTTCCTGTTGGTACCAGATATCATCCGAGGTTCCATGTGCTGACGTGACGAATGCAGGGGGTGCGGTGATACTGCATGGCAGCTTCTGTGGCATAGGGGTTGATCACCTTCATCGGACCGAGGCTGAAATGGATTCCAAAACGCACCTCAACATATGGATGACTGCTATCTGGCCGCATGTTCGCAGTGTCGCCCGTAGTGTTTCATTTTCCGACCCCAAGCGCAAAATCAAAGCCGCTCTCGCAATGGTTCCGCAACAACAATGTTCCTCCACTGCCATGCCATCGCAGTCCCCATACTTGAATCAGAGCAAAAATCTGTAGGATGATTTTCGGAGTCAAGCTGAAGGCCCAAAAGCTCACAACGAGTTCGAAAAGTCCGTCCCACTGAAGATCGCGTAGGGGAACCTCCACCAAGAAAAAATCCGAGTCCATGCTACGCCGGTGTCAAGCCGTCATAGATGAAAACGGTTCTGCGACAAAGTGCTGATGTTGTAGTTGTTCACGTCTGTTATTATATAAGTTATTTTGTTATTATTTTTGAATTTTAGATAGATTGAAGTTTCGAACAAGTAATATGGTATTGGACCGAAAAAAATTAAAAATTTCTAAATTGGTATACAAGCCACCTAGACAACTGAAAATTTGCTCCCTTATCACATATAGTGATATGTTCTCACCTACAAAAAATCGGAACAAAAGCTTGAGTTTTGAGGGAGTTACGTTTAAAAAAGTGAAAACGAATACTTCACTGCACGGTACTGATATATGTATATACAGTGTGTCCCACTAATATTGCACCACATTCCTTTGCTTGTAACTTCTTTCAAAATGGATGTATTTTCAAGAGGTTTTACAAAATTTAGCAATACATTTACATATTGAAAGGAATGACATTCATTGGATATGCTCCCCTGTTGTTGTGAGTATGGCTCCCAATTGCTTCGAACGCAACTCTACTGTGGCCCGCACATCCTGGGGTGCCTCTTCGAAACTTTGCTGAGAAAAGGCTTCCGGCTCATTCATGTGGATGCAATATTTAGCGCAGGCTCTGCCCTATAACATAGCCCAAATATGTATAATGATCCAGCCCGTTGAAATCAACGGATTCGGCTCATCCATGTGGATACCCCTGTCCAGACCATGAAAAAGGTTCGGCTGCTGCTTGTGGCGAATATTCCTTTCACTCTCACTGACTTCCTCAAGACCTCATGCGGGCATCCTCGGAGTTTGAAGATTGTAGCTCCGCTCCATGTGAGGAATTTTGTCGTCGATGAAAACGGTGCCCGCATAATCCCCATTTTCGGCCCTCACCACCAGCCTTTTGAACTTTTTGTCTCTGCTGCGACCCACGCGTTGTGTTAAGAAACTCAGCGTTCTGGTCACCTTTCTCGAGCCAATCCGGGTATTGCAGCCGTTTTGCTTCTTCATGTTTTTCCTAAGATCCAAGATCTCACACAATGAAGACTATTTTAATTGGACTCCCCGTTAGTACACGGTAGGCCGTTGGAGCGGTTGAAAATTCAAAGAACTGCGATGCTCATCACCGGATGTCCGACCTAGCTGTGTGAGAGGTTAGGCACTCTGTTGAAGTTTAGGCGCACCATGAGATGCAGGCCGAACGGTAAGCCGTGGAATTTGGCATGGTCATTGACAAGAGGATAGAGGATTGAAAGGTCTGCCAATCTCGGAAGAAAAGCTATAAACACCTACAGAATTTTAGCTCAAAATTTGGTGCATTATTTATGGGGCACCCTGTATATCAAAACATTTCCATTTACTACAGATCATGCGAATTTCCAGACAGGGCGCGTACTGGTCTTCTTCATTCTATCAGCACCAACCTCTCTTCATGAGCTGTACATGTTGCGCAAAGAACAGAAGAAGCACAATGATCTCATAGTGACTGACCTCCCAGAAACGTACGACAATCTCGTCTTCAAGGTGAACGATTTGTTGTTAAAAATTGTATACCTTGTAAATTCTGCGCAGCGTAGAGCAAGAAAACTCGTACTCCTTGTGTTTTCCACAATTTGCTTTCCTTTTTTCTCCACTCGTGGACCACCTCCTATCACTATTTCCATCTTTGACTGGGATGGCCGCAACGATTTTGCTGAACTGCCTTGGAGGTTATCTCGAGATGGAGTTCCAATACCGTCCTTGTTGCATGTATTCGTTCTCAAACCTTTTATCAGAAGTAGAAACCTTCTGCCGAAAGCACCATTATACTAAGGTGTACGCCTCGATGGTATTTCATCAGCAGTACTGTCCAAAGGCGCAGTTTCTAATGAAGGTCGACGACGATGTTGTTGTTCATTTTGATCGCATGATCGATCTATGGAAAATGGACAAGAAGGCGAACATGTCGATTTATTGCAAAGTTTGGTATGTAGCCAAACCGCAACGGAATCCAGAAAAGAAATGGTATGTTTGGATTTTCTTACCATCATTTGCACTGAAATTGAAGGAAAGAACCGGTAAAGAAGGATATCAAAAACGCTATATATATATGTGTATATATACAGGGTGGCACCAAATATTGGCGCATGGTTTATTGATCATATTTCCAAAAAGACTGCCCACTCGCGAGAGTGGAGCTGAGCTAAACGCGGACACCAGCGTCAGGCTCGCGCGACAGGTCGGCTGGTCATCTCGAGTCGCAACTATGGATCGAACAGTCACATCATCGAACAACGCTAGGGCGTACCCCAGAAGCGACGCGCGGAGGCTTCGCCCGACCTCCGTGACAAATGTGCAAGGGCTACCGGTTCATGGACGAAACTGGCCAAAGAAGCTAGTCCGAACGTACTCGCAGAAGCTGAAGCCAATACGAATCGCCACATTAAACATTGGCACACTCACAGGACGGAGCAGCGAGTTAGCCGAAATGTTGAAAAGGCGCAAGGTGACCATTGCATGCATCCAGGAGACACGATGGCGAGGGCAAAAATCGTGTGATATTGGAAACGGGTACAAGCTCAGTTACTATGGCACATCCAATAGCAAGGGAGTGGCCATTGCCGTCAATATCGAGATGCGCAACCACATCGCGGAAGTACAGCGCCACTCGGACAGGCTCATCTCTGCCGTCATAGATTGTGAGACCCGCCGTCTACATGTATTTTCGGCATATGCTCCACAATGTGGCTGCAAAGACGAGGAGAAGGAGCAGTTCTGGACAGACTTACAAGACAAGATCGCAACAGTTCCTGAAGGCGATTTTCTCCTGTTGGGCGGCGACTTAAATGGACACGTTGGCACGGAACAGAATGGGTACAGCTGCCAAGGGAACTACGGGTATGGTGTGCGCAATGAAGACGGATGCAGGATTTTGGATTTTGCTGAGGCAAACGATCTTGTCATCACTAACACTTTCTTCAAAAAGCGTGAAAGCCACCTAGTCACCTATGCTAGCGGGAACCTGAAAAGTCAAATTGACTACGTGTTGGTGAGGAGACGAGATATGCCCGTTGTTAGCAATGCGAAGGTTATTCCATCTGAGTGTGTAGCACCGCAACATAAGCTGCTAGTGGTCGATATAAAGATGAGGAAACCCAAGCAAAGTTATGGCAGCTCCATGGTACCAGAAAAAGTCAGATGGTGGAGGTTACGAGATGAAAATTTCATTGGCAGATGCGTTTTCCCTCCTTTAGATGGTCGCACCATCGACGCTACTTGGACAACCTTCCGCAGTTCTGTCACAGCTGCCGCTAAAGCTGCATTAGGAGCTACAAAGCCAGGCCAACGTCGTATAGACAAGCAAACATGGCTTTGGACGGAAGAGGTTAAGCATGCAGTGGCTGAGAAGAAGAGCGCATACAAAGCGTGGTATGCTCAGAAAAATGCTGAGAATTGGAGCAAGTACATAACGGCCAGGAGGGCAGCTAAGAAATCTGTCGCCGCAGCTAAGGCTGAACACTTCCGAGACCTCTACACACAGCTGGATTCCAAGGAAGGTGAGAAGAGCATCTACCGATTGGCGAAAGGAAGAGCAAGGTCGGCGAAAGACACTGACCACTATGTTTGCGTAAAGGACGAAGATGGACAGCGACTCCACAGTAAGCAAAAAATACTAGATCGTTGGCAACAGTATTTTAATGAAATCTCCAACATCGAGTTCGCTCATCCGCCAATCCCGGGAGGCCTTATGAATGCGGGTCCAGTCACTTGCATCACTACAGAAGAGGTCACCAAGGCAATCAACAGCATGAAAAATCGGAAGGCGCCGGGCCCAGACGACGTCCCAACAGAATTCTGGAAAATGGAAGGACAGCGGCAGATTGGAATTCCATGGCTCACGCGATTTTTCAATGCCGTCGTCAACTCTGGCCGCGCACCAAAGGAATGGGCGACAAGCATAACCATACCAATCTTTAAAAATAAAGGAGATCCAGCGGAATGTTCGAATTACCGTCCGATTCGCCTGTTGTCGCATACTATGAAGATCTTTGAGCGGATCCTCGATCAACGACTTCGCGACATCGTCGAGCTGAACATCAACCAATGCGGATTTGTAAAAGGCGCTGGAACAATCGATGCAATCTTCGCCGCCCGCATGCTCTTGGAGAAACATCGTGAAAAGCAAAAGTCACTCCACGTAGCCTTCCTAGACTTGGAAAAAGCGTACGACCGCGTTCCACACCAGCTGATCTGGTATGCGCTCCGTGAACACAGAGTGCCAGAAGTTCTCATCAACTGGATCCGGATGCTATACGCGGGCACCACAAGTCGAGTCAGATGTGCAGCTGGTCTTTCGAAGAGCTTTCCAATTAACGTTGGCGTTCATCAAGGATCAGCACTCTCGCCGTTGCTTTTCATCCTCGTCCTGGATGCAATCACACGGGATTTGCAAAATGATGTTCCGTGGACTTTGCTGTATGCCGACGACATCCTTCTCGCAGCCACCAGCAGAGAGGAACTACAGCATCGAGTTCAGATTTGGTGCGATCGGCTTAGCCAGTACGGTCTTCGTCTCAACATCAAAAAGACCGAGTACTTGGAAACTGTTCAAGATGAGGGAACTATCCAGGTCACTGGCGAGGAACTACCAAAAACCACCTGCTTCAAGTATCTGGGTTCCCGCCTGCAAGCCAATGGAGGTCTTGAAGACGAGATAAGACTGAGAATAGGCGCGGCATGGATGAGATGGAGAGAGATTACCGGAGTCCTGTGCGACAGACGTATGCCGATCCGCCTTAAATCGAAGGTATACCGAACTATGGTCCGCTCTACTGCATTATACGGATCTGAATGTTGGCCGAGCACGAAAGGCGCTGAGCGTCAACTTCACGCTATGGAGATGCGGATGCTCCGGTGGTCGCTGGGAATCTCACGTCTGGACCATGTTTGCAATGAAGTGATTCGACGGCGCGTGGGTGTTGCACCTATCACAGAAAAATGCGAGAGAGACGACTACAGTGGTATGGCCACGTCATACGAGCTGCTCCTGATACCGTCGCTGCCACTGCATACCGATTTGAAGTTGACGGCAAACGACCGCGTGGAAGGCCAAGAAAACGGTGGCAAGACACGATCAACGAAGACATGAAAACTGCACAGCTGCGCAGCGAAGATGCCCTGAATCGAACAAAGTGGCGCTCTTCGATCCGAACAACGGACCCTGCCCCAGCGGGACAACGTTAAGCAGAAGAAGATTTCCAAAAAGAGAAGCTATCATATCTTCAGAAGTTTATTTTCATATACAATAAAACATGAAATTATTACCAAAGAAAGTGCTCGAGATGGCCTCCTTTGGTAGCGATACAGGCTTGAAGTCTCTTTTCAACTGACATCACCGTGGGCCGCAAGTAGCTGACGTCGGCGTGACGTGAGTAGATCTTCAGACCAGAAGTGGCGCACGATTTGCAAAACGACAGGCAGTTGTTGGATCTGGCTAGCAGACATTCTGCTCGACCTTGTGTACACACAAGGAACCGTTTTTCAAATTTGTCATGGTTTGGGCAGGAATTACTTCTGAAACCATGACACCGCTTGTCTTTGTGGATGAATACATCAAAGCCAGCGCCCAGATCTACCCGGAAACAATTTTCACGTAATGCCCTTCTTCCAAGGACTCTTTTGACCTTCATCGAACGTTATGCATTCTTCAGCAAGACAGCTTTCTTGAAGCAGAAGATGCCTTCTGAGCAACGTCGAAGTTTGGACTCCCTGAAGGCTTCCTTGGAGGAGGCGTGGAAGGAGCTTGACGTCAGCTACTTGCGGCCCACAGTGATGTCAGTTGAGAAGAGACTTCAAGCCTGTATCGCTGCCAAAGGAGGCCATCTCGAGCACTTTCTTTGCAATGTACTGCCATGTTTAAGGTATATAAAGATAAACCTCTGAAGATGTAATAGCTTCTCTTTTAAAATATGGTCAACAATCCATGCGCCAATATTTAGTAGCCACCCTGTATATTTGTTTATATTACTATTGTACAAAAGGGGGCGACGAGTTATCATAAAATTGGGAAAATGTGATACAATAGGAAGCATGTAAAAAACATACATATAATGTAGGAAAAATCAATCTGAAGGCAATAATTACCTGTTATGACCCAGCTATAAGGAAGGGAAAAACAAACAAGGCATCAGAATGGCTATGGTACAGGAGAAGAAAGGGATGGATGCAGTGAGAAGCGATCATCCAAGAGAGGAGGGGCAATGGCAAGCTCGCCAAATCGCAAGCTGGCTGAGAGAGTGTACGGCTCCGGATACCAACATGGTAGGTCCGACAACCCGTGCTAGAGCTAATATATGCAAAAGGGAGCGAGGGAGGGGGGGGGGCTAGAGGGAAGTAATGGAAATGTGCTAAACTATTGTATATATCACCTGTATCACCTGTCGTCCCGTTGATCGTCGATTTGCTCGAGCGGGCGCCAGCAACGTCTCCATTCGTCCCTGTCGCGTGCTAGAGTGGTCCAGTGGATCCTCCTCGCTCGAGGGACACGAAGTCCTTCATTCCTTTCGTTCAGAGCTTTCGTGAAGAAGTCTGACCATCGGGCCGGCGGTCGTCCAGGTGTTCGTTTGACGTCCCGAGGGATCCAGTCGGTAACCGCTCTGGTCCAACGGTCATCGCAAAATCGCATGACGTGTCCGGCCCACCTTATCTTCGATTCCTTGGCGAAAACGGCAGCGTCCCTGATCTTCGACCGTTGGCGTAGTTCGAACTTCCGGATTCCCCTCTGCATTTGCGTGTATTTATGGGCGGAAGTGGTGTAGTGGCAAGTGGCACGCTTACCACGCGAGCGGTCCGGGGATCAAATCCTGGGTCGTGAGTCGCCCGGGCCAACCAAGCCTTCCATCCCTCCGGGGTCGGTTAATTGGTACCAGACTTGTCTGGGAGGATAAAAACACTGACTTGTACATCGGCTGGCCCCCGCAAGTCATTGTATAGGCCACATCGCATTCAAACGCCACTACGAAT